TAATTGTACAGTCATGTACTATCATATGTGAATATACCACCTCCATAAAAATCTGCCCCACAGATCTTTGCTGGGGTGGAATTCCAACTTCCTTCAACTTTTTTTTTTATTTTTTTTTTAGCAAGGATGGGGTTTTTTTCCCCTTTCAAATACAACTAAATGGAAATAATGTTTGATTCAGTTATGCAGGGAAGATATAAATTGGCTGATGTCCCAGTATGGCCTGCATGGGTATCATATTGAATTAGGAATACATTTTTTATAATCTATAGAATTATCTATATAGATTCTGAAGTAATTTACTGTCAATAACGTCCATTACATTTCAGTGTGATTTAGAGAGAAAACTGCAAAACAAGTCCACTCTGTCATGCCTAGTTTGATCCTCCAGGACTCTGTTTGTGTGTATTTCTGATATGGTGCAATACTTATACAGAGGCTGATATTATTGCAATTCTATATGAACAGAAATTTTGTCTGAACTTTCTAAAATTGAACTATGCCTTACTCTCTTTAAGTATATTCTTTGTAATAATTTTTTTCTCCATATATATTATATAGTATTTTTCTCCTAATTTTTGGTAACAATCTTTTCATCTACAACTTCTTTTGCTTAATAATTTCATCAAACATTTTTGTATATTTCCCAATAGTGCTTCTCTATATGTTTCTGTTAAACATAGTAATACTCTGTTATACCTTCTTTCCAATCATTCAGTGGGAAGATTGCTCTGTTTTATACTTTTTTATACCCCTGCAGTTGTTCTTTCATGTTTTTTGTCACTTCTTTTTTCTTTTTCTTTCATATCTACTTTCCCTAAAGATCTTTAACACTCCCATAAAATGGTCTATCCCACATTAAGAACCTTTCATCAGCCTTGTAGCCTTCATTAATTTTCTCAGTCAAATCATTTATGTGTGTGGATTAATAAACTTAACTTAAACCACCAGTTCAAAACAAAATGATGTTTTTCTAAGCAGTACTGACTAAACAGTCACCATTCTCATTCATTCTTGGGTCTCTAAATGGCGCAGTTATTATTTGTCTATTTTCTATCTCTACCAATTCATTCATGTCATTTAACAAGGGGAAAAAATCCCCCTTTTTCCTTTCAGAATTTTGTGCAGTTTTTTCCCAAACTCATCTGTGTTTCTTTCTTTATCACCATTCATTGGAACTTATCATGCAACTATCACCAATCTATGAATTTGTATTTTTGTATGTACCCACAATACTCTAGATTGAAGTACCACTTGATACTTTCTCACATAAATTTTGTTGCATAATTGGAAAAAAAAAGACCTTAATTTGAGGTAGAATCCAAAATGCCGCAGTTGGCTCTATGCTCATGAGACACATTTTTCATGCCCAGGCCTCACACATTCAGAATAGTACTTTCCTAAGGATGGAGGATGTCTACAGTGTCATTCCATTAAATGATCTATTTAATTAATCCATTAAACCATGGTGCTGAATGTGAATAACATCTCCCACATGGACACAAAGCACTTTTTGTTGATGTAGAAGGCTTGCAGATTGAATCATAATTTCATACCAAACATTGACGAAGGCTCAAAACCTGCACAGATTTTTTTTTTTTACTAGTACTATAGAATTATTTAGGATGCAACATTCTTAAATTGTTGCACTGTATATGGAGATATGTAAGAGAAGCAATATATTTTAGGAATTAAACATTTCCCTCTGCATTAATGCTTGGGAAAAATAGTGTCATTGTGGGTTTTTTACTGAAGTTATTGGTTTGTGTGCAGTTGTGATAATGATGGACAGAATGTTCAAAATTAATAAGGAAAGGAAAGAATTTCTAAAGTTATGCCATAGTGTGATTATGGACATACAGTCGTGTGAAAAAGAAAGTATACCCTCTTTGAGTTCTATGGTTTCACGTAACAGGACATAATAAAAATCATCTGGTCCTTAGCAGTTCTCAAAAGTATGTAAATACAACCTCAGATGAACAACACGTATTATACAATCATCATTTATTTTACAAAAAGAAAGCCAAAATGGAGAAGCCATGTGTGAAAAACTAAGTACACCTTATGATTCAGTAGCTTGTAGAACCACCTTTAGCAGCAATAACTTGAAGTAATCGTTTTCTGTAAGACTTTATCAGTCTCTCACATCGTTGTCAAGGAATTTTGGCCCACTCTTCTTTACAACATTGCTTCAGTTCATTGAGATTTGCGGGCATTTTTTTAGCCCTCTTGAGGTCCTGCCACAGCATTTCAATCGGGTTGAGGTCTGGACTTTGACTGGGCCATTACAACACCTTGATTCTTTTCTTTTTCAGCCATTCCATTGTAGATCTGTACAACAGCTAAAGCTTGGCCAACATTGGGTC